TTTTCTTAATCTCTATCTCCAGAAAAAGAATATTTTTGTCAGAAAGAGGTATCAAAAGACAAGACACTGGAGAACTGAAGAATGTTGAAGAGCTCATGGCATTTTTTTGGAACCCAGCAGCAGCAAAAATAAATAGTGATAAGAGACACTAAATTTGATAAAACAGAAGCCACTTCAAATGTTTCAAATTCCAGGCTAGCAGTGTTTCCTAAGACATGCAGTCACTCACATACCTGCAGGCTCTTTGTGATCCACTGGCCCACCCTGTACATACACTTCAACAGGGGAAGGGGAATGGAAAACCATATGATGAAGCCATGCACTTTTAAATGAAATATTGTTCTGGGAAGTGAGTACACAAGCAGCAGAGGTGGTTTTCTGCTGACTCCCTGTGGGGCCTGTTTCCCCCCCCTCGCCAAGGCTGGTCAGGAGCCCAGCAGTGCAGCAGGATGGCTCCGCAGCATCCACTCTACCAACCACCAGCAGGTGCCACTACATCAACTGTCCTCCAACAACCAAAACCATGCTGCAGGTGAGTTCTTGCTAAATGTTTTCCCACCAGTTCCAGCAATGCAGGGCTTAAGCCCTCTCTACAGAGGGCAGCCCAGCTGAAATGCAGTGATGCACGCCAGAGAAGGTATTTTTCTGACAGAAGTGCTCTGATGTGCACAGGTGGACTTCATGTCCAAAGATAAACACAAATCTAGTTCAGGACTATCTGGAGTCTCAATCCTTCCTGAAGCAGAACCAAGCTCACCTAAGGAGTTGTTCCAATGGGAAGGAGCAAACTAATGAGGAACTCAGTGAAGACTTTATGAACAGGCAGGCTGGGGCAGCACACAAAAGAAACTCCTCTTCAGTTTCTATCTTGGGCATGTTGGCAATTGCATCAGTTATAGAGCAGATGTGTCAACATTTGCCACTGCTCTAACAAATTACAATTAACAAAAAACACTGGAAAAAATTAAAAGCCGTGAAATGATTACCCACAAGTCTATAAAGGCATCTAGCCAATACTCCTGTGTGGTCACCCTAATCTTAAAATATTTTTTATCACTTTGTGAAACTAATAATTTATTTTATATTATGTTTTGATTTTCTGATTTTGATTTTCTGATACTTTTCAGCAGCAGGAGGAGAAATAGAATTGAGAAATAGCCCCATGTAATACAGCCAGAGAAAAATCCATTCCAAGATCCCCTCTAAGTGCTACTGGAAAAGAAAATCCCACCCACGCTTCAGTTACAGTCAGAAAACTGGAAATAAAACATATAGATGAAATATCAGGGCACTGACTTGTATATTTACTTAGCCAAGTTTGTGTCTACAAATATATTTCAAGGTTGCTATTGCCAACACAATTGTAAATATTCAAAAAGAAACACATTAGACTAAAGTACTATTTTTGCACACCAAGGAAAAAGGGTTTTTTTAATAACCATGTGTATCACTGTAAGTTCCCTCTTGAAATTTATCATAAATTGTGCTTCATGACGTACACTTTAATTAGAAGAGCCAAATAAAAATTCAAGGGGTTTTCTTTGGTTTTTGGCATGAGTGTTGTTTTCAAAGAATAAGCATCCAAACCATTTAAAAATAAATAATTAAATTTGCTATATTCTTTTCTTCCAGTTTACAGATAATCTTTGCCTTAAGTTACAGTAGCAACTTACACAACTGAAGTTCCTTCTTATGTACAAACATAGCAAGGTTGTCTTTTTCCCAGAAACTATGATCTTCTATACATGGAACTCAATGTAACCCAAATATCCTGGTTTGAGTCATGTTTTATCTCAAATGATACTGGTATAAACAGCCATCCAAATGTGTGTGTTCACATCATAAAACTCTTTTCATAAAAGGTCCACCCTTTTATGCTTATGCAGGAAGCTAAATTATCTGATGTAATTAACTCTGTTCAGAAAGGGAGAATTTGTGTGTTTGGTGATCATTTGCCTGGGATATTTTTATAATGCTTTCCTCCACACTGTGCTCAATTCAACCCTAAGCTGCTTACACAGATACTAAACAGAACATGTGATTCATTTGTGCATCTTTATTCTTTTAAAACATCTGATAAAGACAAGCAATAGGTCATTTTGCCCCCCTGGAATCGCAACAACTGACCCTTATAAATCTTGTAATTCCTCCAATTAATCCCATTCCCAGAGGTAGGAGTAATACTGGCAAATTATCTGGTTGCAGATATATTTCATTAATATCAGGTGACAGTTTCTCTTAGTTGTGGGCTTCCGTTATGTAAGATGGATGGACAGCAAAACCCCTGCCATCCAAGGATTTTTTCTATATGTATTGTCCTCACCATCAGAAACATTTCCCTTGGAATTCGTTACTATGACAATTTATTGCTCTGGAGATGTGACTATGGTGGACTGGATTTACATTTTCTACCCTTACTGAAGTCTTTGTACATATGCGAGAGCAATCACACATCGGATTACTGGGGTTTTTTATCAAATGCACACGAAATGTTCAACTCCTTGTGAATATATTGGAAATATATTTAAAAAAAACACAATTAATTCAAAATTCAGTGATAGTCTAGACTAGCTTCATGTTGATGTTTCACCAGACATTACTACAAGAATGAATAAAGAAATATTTTAGAATACTATGTGAAGATTGAGCTTTATGTAACAGTGGAAATGCTGAAAAATAGTCAACTAAAAGTAACAGCAAGACCCTAGTTTCTTCATACAAAACCCCTCCTCCTTTGGGTCTGTGTTTGCAAGGTATTTACTCCTCCAGTAAATACCATGCAAGCTCTTTGTTTTATGATGCAGTCATTACAAGGAAGACTCCAAACCACTTGGCAGCATAAGCAGCATAGCAGTAGCTCTGACATTCCATGGTTTCCAAGGAGAGGAAGTTTCCCTTTCAGTTTTGGGACTCACTTGTGGGTGTTTTGCTAGCCCACTCCTTCTCCCTTGCTCAAAAGACAGCTTTTGCCATTTGGCTACCTACAAATGGGCATTGGTGAAAGTAGGCAGTGTTTATAAATGCTTTCTTAAATTCCAGGTTGTCCATCACCTGCCAGTACACACACCTCTACCACTCATGAAAGCAGGCCATGAAGTTCTGGACACCCACTCCATTGGAAGAGGGCAGCATGAGTTTTATCTAAGGTCTGCAACTCAGCAGGCATTCTTTGCCCCACACAACAAAGACAAAGCGGCAGCAGGCACAAGGCTGTGCAGGATGAGGATGGCAGAGCAGCAGGCACAAGGCTATGCAGGACACAGTGCAGCTGCAGCACTGTGGGCTCCCTGACACCCAGCCAGAGTGTCTCTAAGGGCTCATCCCTGCAAGCATTGCTCACAGCAGCATTGATGCATTGCTTCCTTCAGCCTAACCTGAAAAAGCTCTTGCCAGCAACATCTGCCAGTAGACTGCACAGTGGTTCTGGCAAATCCAGCCCATTGAGTCAACAGTCGCTTCAGCTATAAAAAAAATGGGAGATCCTCTGGCTTTCACCTGCATGTGTTTGCTGGATTTTTTTGTTTGTGGGGATTAAAAGAGATCAAAATCCCCCCATTTCTATGTCAGATGTGCATTACGCTTCTACTTAATACAGCAATCTCTCAATAAATCTGTATGAGCATAATTAAAATACTCTTAAAAAGGTAGCATTAATGATAAAGCGAGGCTCAGGGAACATGCTTTGTTCAAATGCACAAATTACGATTTTAATCCACTATTTAAATTATTTATCTGTCTTTCTGCAGAGCACAGCAGTAGGGGTACTTCCACAGGTGGTGCTAGGGACGGTGTTTCCCCAGTGGCCCATGGGCCACACAGGACAGCTGGGCCGCCGCCTCGGGACACCCCAGCGCCGTCACCCCCCGGTTTCAGCCCAGGGGAACCCCCGACGAGGCGGGGGATCCCCGCGACACAGCAGCCGGCCCCGGGCCGCCATTGCCAGCGCCGTGCCGGGATTACCGTTACCGCGGCAACCGCGGCCGGCCCCGCGGCCTCGTGACGCCACAGCGCCGGCCCGGCGCGCGCGTTGCCGGGGAGACGCTCCGTCGCCACGGCGACCATCACGCCGCCCTGCCCGGCCGCTGCCCTCAACCATAGCGCGGAAAAAATAATTAAAACAAACAGGCAAAAAAACCCCACAACTCGGACGCCACGAGAGTCGTCTGTGTCGCCGCTCAGTCCCGGCGCTGCTGCGGGCCCTGCTGCGGCTGGCCCCGACACCGTCCCGTCCCTATCCTGAGGGGTGCAGGGCAACACGGGCCACGAGCAGCATTCCTGTCCCAGCCGTGACACGCTGCCAACGCTTGGAAAAAGTGAAGCAAAGAATTTCCGTATTAGCAGCGAGGAAAAAGCAGTTCTGCCAAAGCCCAGTGCCTGCCTTCTCACTTGGCGGATGGCAGCCGTAGATTCTCTCTCTTTGCAAACATTTGCCCTAAGTGAAAGCCAGATCAAAAAATGCAAAACAAGTGGAAAAAACCCACCCCGTATCTGTTTCACTGAAGCAAGGCAGCCAATCCGGGCTGATCCCAAGAGCCAGCACTGGCGCCCGTCACATCACAGAAGGGCTGGTCGTGCCATCTGGGTACAGGGCTCACCTGGACACCTCCCGCCTGCACAAGCAACACCAGCCGCGCACTTCCCCTGGGAGAAAAGAACGAGCCCATCTCTTCTGAGTGAGGGTACTGCGTTTTCATAAAAGGGACAAGTAGCCACTTCAATGCTCTCTGTTTGCTTACATGCACTTTAATTTCAGGTATTCTTTGCCAAGTGGCTCTGTGGCTCAGGTAGGAACACTGCAGGCTCTGCCGGGGGATCTTGCTGATGCCAGGCAGGGGCAGGGCAAGTAAGTTGTCCTGGACACAAGGCCATGCTGCTGCCAGCGCTCCTGGGCTTTCTTCACTAACGCAGTTCCAAACTGCATCACTTAATTACATTAATGTAGATTCACACACAACACAGCATGAAAACATTTAGAGTTACAAAATGCATCTAGTTCTTACCTTTGATATGCCTGAGGAGATGTGGGAGGTGTATTGAACACATGCGAATATGGGTGATAGGGTGTCTTTTTCAAAGCCTGAATAAGATTTTGTCTATATTCTGGGTCTATACACCACAAGGACCCCTTTCCAATACTCTGCAAAGAAAAAAGAATTAAAAAAAAAATCAAATATTTGATCTAATGGCACAGCCTTATTTATTTAGCAGTATTTGTCAGTAAAAGCAGTGGGTTTGGGTTTTTTGTCTGACAGAAGTGAACATAGTTTGCTTGCCAGAGATTATAGCTCCATTAATAATGTATTGCAACCGTTTGATTTAAATCACACTTCTGAGGGGGGAAAAAAAAAAGAATGAATGTTTGGTTGCTCTTTCCCCCCCTCTCTCTCATTACTACTGAATATGATTTATTAATAGCTGTCAACTTCCCCATCACCCCATATTGGAAAAATAAGAAGCTACAGTTTAACTGTTATGTGGAAATTTTGAAGAAAAGTATCTTCTTTTTGGAAGTGATTTTCTTTTCCTGTTATACTAACAAGAAACAAGGCTAAAAAGGAGGGAGTTAAACACCCCAGCAACAGTTTTAAAAATAAAAGGACTTAATCCTTCAACCCACATGACATCAATGCCATTATACTACAAGAGGAAACTAATCATCTTTTCTCCCCTGAGGGGAAAAAAATACCCCAAAACCCAACCCAAACCAACCAACCAACCAAGAAAAAAAAAAGCCCATAACCGTTTAAGGGTGTTCTGAAATTGTGATTGGCTAAAACAACATTTACTGTAGTTACCCTTTCTGAACACATAGAGCAACACAAGTGGTCAATCTGTAAGGCAAAGACCACACTAAAATTCAGTATTTATTCTGCAGTTATAAGCAGTGAAATTTCAGTTCTTGTCTCAATCCCATCAGAGGTCAGGCTGAGAGGATATTTTGAATTGTTTCGTGTCAATTCTCAAACACGTACAGAATGATAGCTCAGGAGGAGTCTTGGTCTGTTTGAGTATAATAAAAAGACCCACCAATCCTAATTGTTGACTGCACTCCACTGGCAGCTTTCAAGGCATTATGATAAGATTTTCTAGTAAATGATGAGGTTTTCTGGGACAGGTGGGGAAAGCTGTGCTACCTCCTCTCGCCACTTTTCAATCCAGGATCATCCCTTTCCTCAGCTCCAACTTCTGTCAATGGAACAAGGCTCTCAGTTCACATGTTAAAGAACAAACAAACACAGACACACACAAAATCACACCAGAAGTGGGATATAACTTTCTTAAGCCATAAGGAAGACCAGAAACAGACACTTGTTCCTTTCAAAAACTTACCATCTTTGCCCTACCACCTCCTAAGTGCTTCTCTGCTTCACCAATAGCCTTAGGACAATAGCTTACAGACCTCCTTCCAAGCTCACAAAGATAGCAAATCTGCAATAAATTTTCCCCAAAAACAAATAAATTGAAAAGAAAATTCTTCCCCAATGTCACTGGATGGCTATGTGGGTGCACCTAGCAAGTTCATAGCACCATGTGAAACTTGCCTCGAAAGAAAAGTAGAGGGGCTGGCACTACCCACAGGAGCTGTAACAGCTTTCTGTCAGAAACAAGCACAGCTGCTGCAGGGGATGAAGAAACCATCCTCTGCATGCTGCTCTGGGGGAGCAGGAACATGGGGCCAAGCCTCTTCAGGACAACGCAGAGTTTAGGCTCATCTCCTGCGTTACTTCCCCGGTGTGCCCTACC